AGGGTTCAGGATCATCTCCGTCCAAATGGTGCTCATAGATGGCACAACTATATGAAGACACCTAAGTATGATGATTCTGCCTATTTCATTGAATGCATTTGTATGAGTATTTGCAACATTCATTTATAGTCAAAAGGATATATGATTTAACTGTTTGTAGTTTGGAATTTAATTATATGCCAAGCTGTCTTGCAGGAAGATTAAACATTTAAAAAAAATGTTTTCTGGTCTCTTGTTGAACAAGTAACATTTGTTTCTTCATATTGGCTGGCCTTGACAATCTTCCAGCATTTTATGCTGCTTTGGCAAGCCTCTGTTATTATTCAGCATTTACTATTTTCTGGTTAAATTAACCTAGCAATAAAAGATTACCTCCAAAATTCTAATATCTAATAGTAGTTTCGGGCTTTCTGTACATAATTTGCACTGATCCAGATGTCATATCTGTTTACAGTGAAATCAAGTTGGATGAAGCAGCAATTCTACATTACACATACCCCAAATTTTCTGATTTGACCTCAAGACGTGATCGTTGTGGCTGCAAACCAACTAAAGAAGATGTTAAAAGATGCTTCATGTTGGATTTTGACAGATCTGTGAGTTCTTTTTCATGCTTGCTTAGCTTCTGGTTTGAAGTATTATTAGTTTTCGTCTGAACTTTGGAGTGAGTTATGAGTACTTGATTATCTGTGATTGCTACAATCTTTCTCTTTTCCCCCCATTTTCCTGTTGATCATGGTGATCACTACATTCTTATATTAAAAGATTTTTTACATCTATTGGGTAATGACATTTTAATACCTAAGTCTTGCACACAGGTTTCCTGGTTAAATCATAACAAAAGCCATGTTGTTGTCTCTTTCTTTTAGTTGGCCTTAATAATGTGCATGGTAGGGTGACACCTGGTCAATTTTTTTTCTTCTTCCCTTTCTTCAAATCATATAGTCTTCTATTTTATTAGTTATTCTATGAAATCAGCACGACAGTAAACCTTTTCTTTCTCCCACCATTGATGATTAAACTTCATGACATGACGTGAGTGGTGTCTCTAGTGTCTCTTTTCAATTCCTTCTTGGGTTGATAGGCAGTGAAGTTGTGGATTTTCCTCATGTCCGCGGGTATGTATTCTGTTTTGATGAATCCATTTAATGTCTAATGTAGGCATTCATAATTGCTTCTACTGCAACTGAAGAGGAGATGCTTCAATGGTAAGTTCCCCAAGTAGATTCAACTATGCTTCAAATTCCTAATTTATTTGCAATTTTAAATAGGGATTTTCATTTGATATAGGTATCGAGAACGTGTTGTGTGGACTGACAAAACACTAAACCTGAAACTTTTGAGGAAGGGCATCTTGACTCGCATCTACTCTCCCATGGTATGTTCCCTTGCCTGACATCCATGTTGTGGTTTCTCTCTTACCAATTTATATATTTATCATCTGCATGGTATCTGAGATAACAGTCTGAACTTTGTTCAAAAATAAATTATCTTTTCAGGTTATCATTCAGAGTTTGAGGGAAACTGGAGTTTTCCATTCTGTGATCGCAAAAGCAGCCGAAACAACACTATCAAAGGATAACTTCTTAAAATCTGTTGATAGTAACAACTCGACTAGGAATGCTAGATCAGAAACCATTTTTTCAAGAAAAATTGATGCAGGTGGTGTATCCCAATTAACTGCAAGAAGAATTTTGGAAGTCATAGATGATGGCTTAACCCCTTCTGCAATCCCACCATTATCTCCACCCAAACTTGATCATTCTAACCCCATTACATCTTCATAGTTTTTTTCCCCGACTCCTTACCATTGCCAGAACTTTTTAAGGAGGATTTATACTTGAATTGTGGCTATTATGGTGAGCCATCCAGTTTTTTGGATTCTTGGGATTTTTCCCGATCATTTATCCAATTGCTCGTGTACATTTCAGGTTTAGATTTTTAGGCTTAGTATAGGAATCACACATGTAGATTTTGCTAGCAGCATCTTCATCATTCTTTTCTTCCTTTTCACCTTGAGTTGAGCCATATTGGCTGCGGTTGTTATGGAAAATAGTGGCTTATTGAATTCTTTACATACATTTTGAGAGACAATGTTATACTGATCAATATTTTCTTCTCCAGTTGGAGGCAGAAATGATTGCTAAAAATGAGAAAAAACTGTGAATGGTGTATTGCCAATCATTTATATTTCAGTATGTTGTTGAAGAATTGATTTTATTGTCACT